ATGACTATCAAATGCACCACTATCAAATGCACCACTATCAAATGCACCACTATCAAATGCACCACTATCAAATGCACCACTATCAAATGCTCTCCATGCAGAAATGAACCAGGAGAAAGGAAGGTGTGTCCAACTCTGCTGCATATGTTCTTTTCTATAAAAAGCAAGACGTGATCCCTTCAACAAAACTCCTAAATCAAGTAAGTGTCAACAGGAACCAGCACTGACGAGAGTCCTTCACCTCCTCTAGGGAGGCCGAAGAGCCAGAGCAGGGCTCCATTGTTTTTCATACGTGGGCTGAAACATTCTGAATAATTGTGAAGATTTATTGCCACATCATCTCATTCACGGTATATCAATTTATATAATTAATGGAGAGTTCCTCATCAAGAACCAATTTTCTAATTACCATATACATACAGATAACTATAATCAGCTTTATCAAAATTTGCTTAGAAACAAGGTAAATAATAAAAACTGGAAGTGCCTTTATGGTAACAATCAACTCAAACCTCGTGTAACCAAACAAACAAACAAACAAAACAAAACAACCCAAACCCTCCATGCGGCCATAGCTAGAAGCAAGGCCCAACCTCAGAGGGAAAGATCTGGTGTGTGCCCACTCACATCTAGACACTTCAGAGACAGCTCCCGAAGACCGTGTAGGCTGGGCAGCATGAGGCCAGAGGCTGGCACGACTTACTAAGTCCATCCAAGCTATTTACGCGGAATGAGGTTCTCCCGATTCTGGGAGGTTTGAGGCAGTCAGGTGCTCACTGGCAGAGGTGGGGTGAAGTAAGGCTGCTTTGCTTAAGACAGTGACAAGTGGCCGCTGGATGACAGAGACAATACAAAGTCTTTCTAGAGAGTTTGGACAGATTAATATTGGATACGAATACTAAAGCACAAATCCGTGTTTCGAGAATTCTCAATACATTTGTCAGTTTCCATTTAAAGAAATAGAAGGCATTTATCAGGATCGTTTCTATCAAGAATATGTAAGCTGAACCCATGGCTCATTAGAAGCAATCAGCTCCAGGTACCTATAAGCATGATTGCCCAAATTCTAATTGAATCTTCTATATACATGGGATAGTTTCAAAGAGAGAATGGAGTTGGAGATGTGGATATATTTTGCAGACAATACAATTAATACTTGGAGTTTTTTCTTTCTCCTGGTGCTACCTAGGTCAATCCGGGGGCCTTAAGCAAGCTCTGCAAGGGAACTGTATCACCCAGCTACACACTAGCTCCAATACTTTGGTTTTTGTAGAGCCTACAAAACTTATACACAGATGATACCTTATCTAAATGACTGAAATAAAAATGCCTGGCTGCAAATATGCCCTTGAGAACATACAGTACTGAGGCATCACTGGTTACTGTGCCCAGGGCCCCAGCTGCATCCACAGCACCTTATCAATCCTGATGATGTTCCAGGAGTCCAAGGATGGGCAGACCACACAGATAAGAATTTATTGCTCTAGTATGAAGTCACAGCAATGCTAGCTTGATTGCTATCCGTCCTGAGACTGGGAAAGCACCTCCCATCCTTCCCATATAGTTCACCTTTAGCCCTCAGCAAAATGTAACAAGAGGGTGGCTCTGTGATAAGGCACCTCCTGGGTCCAGGTACTACACCTGCTTTATTTGATTTTCAGTGTTGGGGATAGAACCCAGGGCCCACACACGCTAATCATGCATTCTACCACTGCCTACATCCTGACCTATATTCTTTAACATGCTCCTCGTCTCTCAGCTACTACTCCCCAAACCACCCCTTCTCCCAACACACCTGCAGTGGATGGGTGAACTGTCTTCTCAGTCCCGGGGGAGCAGGCCTGCCTGACCCTTCCCAAGCACCCATGGAGGACAGGGCCCATCCCACACTTCACCCAGAAACACCCTCAGGGGTACTCCGCATCACATCCAAATCACTTTTACCTCCACTGATTCAAGCAAGATTTAGAGGAAAGAACAGGAGGCTTGGAACCAAGAAATCCTGGGTTGGATGCAGCTGCAGCACACAGTTCTGTGACTGAGAACAGCCTCACTCTCCTAAGCCTCAGTCTTTCACACACAAACGCAGTGCAGAGAAAATGAGGTGATAAATACCCACTGGCTGGCACATAGTAGGTGCCCTAAAGGTGACTCCCCTTCTCCTTTTCTGTTTCCTTTTAGATTTTTTTTCTCCCACGCTGTTCACAGTATCCCCACCCCCACGCTCCCCGTCGGCAGCAGCTTTTACACCTGAATCACGGAGACTTCCTTTAAAATCCTGTATCAGGAGATGTGATTGCAGAGCATTACCCAAGCCTGGTTCCTGAAATAGAAATGACAAAAACTGCACATCGAAGCTAAAAGGGGATGGGCAGAGAGTGGGGGACCAAAGGCCTGGACTCTCCCAACCTTCCTGTCTGCTCTCCTCCATGAACAGTGTCACTGGATTTAGCAAAGAAAATGAGCATCGCCCAGTTATATTTTGATAGCAGATAAACAATATTCCCCTGGTGTCCACTGCAGGAGAGAAGGAAGGTGCCTTTGTTGTCAAGAGCAACCAGGGAAAGAACTAAGATCGGCCACAGAGTGACTGTGCCTCCCACTGCCAAAGAGAGTGAGGTCCTGGGGGAACCCTGGGAAAAGCCAGGAGGTACCAGATACATGATGGTGCTCTTTCTGGTCTGCTAAACAGGGCAGTTACAGGTGCCTAGCTTTGAAGTCTAACGTCCAGCCTGTACGAAATCTGCCCACCACATGCTTGACATGCATGTTGCATGGTACTTTTTATGCATTAACTTAAAACATAGCTTTGTTTAATAAGCATGTCATTCTTAGGATTCTAAGATCAAGGACTTACTATCTTTGGGTTATTGTTTTTTCCATTGTCAGGGCTAGAACCCAGGGCCTTGCATGTGCTAGGCATGTGCTCTACCACTGACCTACACCCCCAGGCCTAAGAACATTAGAAGAGACAAACTACCTACACCTACATACAAATGACTTTTCCATTAATGAATATGCATTTGCATTTGAATTCTCTGTCTTAAGTGGGAAAGGGTGATAAAAATTACACATGGAGACGCACATATGTCTCAGTACGCACTGAAATACCATCTCAGTCGGCCCCCTGGCTTCTGCCCATCCATTCTCTTCTCAGCCCAGTTGCCAAGAGAATCCATCTAAAGAATAAGTCAACATGTCACCTTCCTGCTCAAAATCTCCAGGGACATCCCATCTTACTCAGAGTAAGAGGCAAAGTCTTTCCAGTGGCCTCTAGGTCCTAGGGGACCTGGCTCTCCCCTGACCTCTCCTGGGTCACCCTGGGGCAGCTATCCTGGTCACAGCACACAGCATCCTTGTGAAGGGCCGCGCTTGTTTTCTCCTTCTTCAAGGCTTTATTCTAAGACCAATTTCTCCAGTGTCTTCTCTGGCCTCACTGTAAAATCATATTCTCCTTTGTTACATTTTCCCCCATGGCTCCAACCTCATCAATCTACTTCATGTTTTATTTAACTACATATTTGGAATCTCTCCCACTAGAATTTGAGCAGAAGTCACAGCATTTTGCTCGCTGCGGCATCCTCAGTATGGAGAATATATCGCATTCAGTCAGGAGAATGACTTGTTGAATGTTGAATTGACACAAGGCAGAAAGTCAATAATGATGAGTTATCGTGGGATAAAAATGAATAAACACAGGATTTCCTTCAAGATGTTGAAGTAATAAACCAGCTCTTCTTCATGAAGTCCTGCACTTGCTCTCTTCCTCATGAGAAAAATGCAAAGACACAAAGTGGACTTAGGAACTTCCTGCTTCTGGAATTAATACTCAAAAGTATGAGGCTGGCGATGTAGTCAGCTCTTGACCAGAGTATGTGAGGCCCTGGTTCAAGCTTCAGCACTGAGATCAAACAAACAAAACCATCGCTGATTCTTTGAACAGGATGTGGTGGCATAGACCTGTAACTCCAGCACTCGGAAGGCTGAAGTAGGACAGCCTGGGCTACACAGGGAAACTGTCTCAAATAAATACAGAAATGGAAACAAAAGCCCATAAGCAAATCAGGGGCTGGCAAGATGGGTCAGCGGGTAAAGTCACTGACCTGACCGCCATGACTACTGAGGACTGTGGTGATATATTGTGTCCCCCAATATATTGTGCACCCTATAAAGCTTATCTGAGGATCAGAGGAAAAAACCAGCCACTATAGTAAATATAGAAGTCAGGCAATATTAGCACATGCCTTTAATCCTAGCATTCGGGAGGCAGAGATCCATTTGGATCTCTGTGAGTTCAAGGCCACACTGAGGCATGGTGGCACATGCCTTTAATCCCAGCACTAACCATAGAGGTCTGGAGATCTATACAGACAGAGAGGAACCAATGTAGCTGGGCAGAGAGAGGAAGTGAGATGGCGGAACAGAAAGGCATATAGGCGTGGGTATACAAGAAGTAGGTTTCTTTGGAAGCTGAGGAGTTGGTGAAGTGAGGTTAGCTGTGGCTTGTCCTATTCTCTGATCTCTCAGCTTTCACCCCAATATTTGGCTATGGGTTTTTATTAATTAGATTGTGTAGCAATTCATCTTACAGAGGACCACATGGGAGTGAACTGACTCCAGCAAGTTGTCCTCTGACCCCAATGTGTCTGCCATGGAACATTCCCCACCCAACCCACACATGTGAAATAAATTTTTAAAAAATGTTAAAGCAGGATTCCATCTTTCCACTGTTGCCATTTTTCTTGAACTAATATAGAAGTCAGGCAATGGTAGCACATGCCTTTAATCCTAGCATTCGGGAGGTCTCCACTCTCAGATAAAAAACAGTCAGTAAATTGTAAAATAAAGAATGTGCTCTGAGAAAGTTTCAGGACTACTGGCATTCAACACATGCTGTTTAGTAGAGTCCACATTATCAGCCTTTTAGCCGAAGTCCAATCAGACGACCTTTAGCCATAAGATGTATAAAGGCCCACCATGCAGAACAGAATTCCCCTTACCTCCCGACTGCATCCTGGATGAGCTGCTGCAGGTCCACCTCCTGCTTCCTCAGGGTTCCAAACGACGAGCAGCCCTCCACCAGGCCTTTGCCGCCAACGTTCAGCTTGACCTTCCCCACAACCGTCCCGATGCTCCCACTCGTATGGTTCTCAAACCTGCTTTCATATTTCACGAAGTCTGACTCCACAACCACTGGAAAGAACAGAGCAGAGGAATCCAAAAGCAGTTAAGACATCTCAGTGTTGTGGGCTGCCCAGCTTCCCCCGCAGCCTCGTGGGAAACCCACACCAGCATCTGATTGGAAATCGGGTAGCTGTGCCGGCATTAGGTAAAAGGCAGTCCATACACCTACATGCTGACTGAGCACAGCTGTGGACAGAGTCCAGGGGTGCTTAGCACCTCTTTAGCCACTGGGATGGTTTATATTGATTCTCAACTTGAAAGGATCTAGAATTACTCAGGAGACAAACCTCTGGCCATGCCTAGGACAGAGTTTCTAGATTGGGTTAATTAAGGTAGGAAAGCTCCCTTCTAAATATGGGAGGCACCATTCCATGGGTTGCTGTCCCAGACTACACGGACAGGACATAGTGAGCTGACTGCAGACCAGATGTGACCCGCTCCCTCCTTCAGACCTTTCTTGCCATGATGGACTGCACCCTCAAAGTGTGAGCCAAATAAAAACTTTCTTAAGTTGTTTTGGCCAGGAATTTTTGTCCCAGCAAGGATCAAAAAGTAACTAAGATGGCCACCAGCTGGGGTAAAGACTGAAAGGGGACCAAAATGGAGGATGGCGGGTGATACCTGTGCCCACACTACTGCTGCCAACCCCAGGGGAGCGACTTAGCATGGCAGATCCTCCCGGACAGTTCTTGGACATCCTTCCTTCCCACCACCCACCCTAAGGAACAATTCCCTGGTCCTCAACATCTCCCAGCAACGTAATGTTTACATTATATCTGAGCTCTTGCCAGACGTCCAGTTCCTTACCATGTTAGTCACCAGACATACCCACGCCCCTCCGTCCCCTCCCAAAGCACACAAAGCCCCACTTGCCTTCCCTCCTGGTTTTCCAGACTCTAAGGAACACAGCCATACCACCTGGTATTCCACTGTCAATCAAGTCAGCTGGGAATTGCCTTGTCCTACCACCGAGCTATGACCACACGTAAGTGAGGGCTATCAGGGTGCCTTCAGGGTCCACCCTCTGCTCAGAACCCTCATGTGAACTACCAGCCTTGGGGTTGGGGTTGGGTTTTGTGTGTGTGTGTGCGTGCGTGTGCGTGTGTGTGTGCGTGTGCGTGTGCGTGTGTGTGTGTGTGTGTGTGTGTGTGTGTGTGTGTGTGTGTGCGTGTGTGTGATGTTTCTTTTTTCTCTCCCCCACCCTTTTCTCTTTTCTCTCTTGGGTGAATCCAGGGTTTCATATATAGTAGTCATATATTCCACTACAAATATATGCCCCCAGGCCACTGTCCTCATTTTAAATTGTCAAGATAAAACTATAAAAAAAACCAGCCTCAATCACCACCATTTGGTAGGGACACATTAAGAGCCTGTTGTGAGCATCACACTCTGCCTTTTCGTGTCCTTCACCCAAGTCTCTCCTAGGCTCCTGACTGATCTTCAGAAGGGATTCCAAACCACCTGGAGCCTACCAGACTCCCCGCGACTCATCCACTCCCAGAAGCAGGGAATGGGTGACAGGAACCAGAGGCCAGGTACAACCTACGAAGGCCCCTGACTAGTGACCTACTTACGTCAGCTAGTCCCATCTCCTATGGCTCCACTGCCCTCAGAACAGCACCATGAGCTGCGGGCCAAGCATTCCAAACATTAGACTCGGGGGTGCATGTTTAGATTCAAAACGTAACAGTCCCCAGAATTGGTCACATCACAGATAGGGAGAAATTGAGACTACACACATGAAATGTCACCCTAGACACACCTGCAAAAGATGTCACTTAGAGTTCTTCATCTAGTTATCATCTGATAGAAGGGAGCATTGAGCCACCCACAATCCAGCCACCACCATTTCCCCTCCCTATCCTTAGCAACACTCACGCCAGGGTTGAAGCAAGTGGGGGAAAGCAACAATGAAGTTTCTTGAGTTTGCTTTTCCCAGCCATGACTCCAACAGGACTCAGGATCGAGCCTGAGCTCTGACCTCAAATGATGGTCGTATTCGAGAATCCATGATCTGTGGTGACAAGTACCATCACCAGTCTAACTTAAGTCTGCATGATCTATCAAGATACTACCAAGTTATCATTTCAACATCACAGAGAGAAATCCCAGTACTCAGCAGTCCTTGGTGTATTTTATGATTTTTCCCTCTCATTCCAAATTGTGCTTAGCTATTTTACTACTCAAAAGAGGTTCTACCCTCAAGAACATATATCTGGGGGTAGTGGGGGAGTGACGGTTGATATTGTCAACTTGACAAGCTCCAGAATCATCTCAAGCATGCCTGAGAAGGGTGGTCTAGATTAGGTCACCTGAGGTGGGAAGACTCATCCTGACTGTGATGGCACTATTCTGTGGGATGGGGTCCTGGACTGAATAAAAAGGAGACAGCCAGCCAAGTGCTAGAATCCATGGCCTCCTGCTTCCTAGATGTAGATGCAGCGTGACCAGCAATGTCTCAAGCTCCTGCTGTCGTGACTCCCTAAAACTGTGAGTTAAAATGTGCTGTTTCTTCCTTAAGGGGCTTCCTGTCAGATATTCATCACAGAAATGGGGAAGGCAGCTAACATGTGGGGGATAACATAACTCAGATCAACCCATCCTCCCATCCTGTGGCGGCTCCGGTGACCGGCTGAGGGCAGCAGCCACAGGAAGGCTCATCTGGAAGAAAGTGTGGAGACTGCAGACTCAAGCAAGCAACTCTAGCTCCCTCTCCTTTTAGTAGATATGCAGTCACAAAATGCTGAAACTTTACTGTGAAGGAGAATTAGACTTGGTTTCATCCAATAACTAACAACTGTTGATACTGTCACACGTCACTGTGTTCCAGGAAGTAAGATAGCAAGGAGTAGCTAGTTTCAGAAAGTTTCCAACCTCTGGTCCAGGAAACCCGAGAAAGCACGCCAGTGTAGCTGTTTCAAAAACAAGCTAAGAATCACAAACAAAAATGTTCACTGCAGCCTTATTTATTAAGCACAAAATTGGAATAGTTAATCAAATTAGGGTGTATATATACATACATATATATATATGGCTGTCAACATGCACACACACACACACACACACACACACACAAAGGAATATTATGTGTTTGCTGAAGTAGAATTAAAAGTATCTAAATCTACAGAGGAAAACTTACATAATATTAAATAAAAATAAATGAGGAATATATTGAAATTATATACAGCATATTTCTGCTTCTGTTTGTAAAAACTATTTAGGTGTGGGGGCTGGGTTCTGGGAAAGAGCAGGCGCTCACTGCACAGGTGTGGAGACCTGAGTCAGATCTCCAGCACATCCATAGAAAAGTCCAGGCTGCACTAGCATGACCCAGGCCCAGTGACAGCCTGCTCCAAACAATGAGGTGGAGAGTGACAGAAGACACTTGCTGTTGACTGGCTGTCAACATACACACACACACACACACACACACACACACACACACACACACCATACATGCACACACACCCCACACCACACACACATCACACACATCACACACACATCACACACACCACACACACATCACACATACCACACACACACACCACACACATCACACACACCATATACACACACCACACACACCCCACACCACACACATATCACACACACACGACACACACATCACACACACACCACACACACACATCACACACACACCACACACACACCACACATACCACACACACACACACCATACACAAACACCACACACACATCACACACACCACACACAGACACCACACACCACACACACACCATATACACACCACACACACACACCATATACACACCACACACACACACCACACCACACACACATCTCACACACACCACACACACATACCACACACACATCACACACACATACCACACACACATCACACACACCACACACAGACACCACACACACACCATATACACACCACACACACACCACACCACACACACATCTCACACACACCACACACACCACACACACACACCACACCACACACACATCTCACACACACCACACACACATACCACATACACATCACACACACATCACACACACACACACATCACACACACACACACACACACACACACACACACAGTCGGGAGGGAATGACAGACAGACAGACAAAGAGTAAAAGAGCAGCGGCCCAGGTGTCCCTTCCACAGGGGCCAGTGAAAAGTAAACCACAGAGTCCCAGTTCACAGGCAGGGACTTCACCAGCTGCCACGGTAAACACAGAGCCAATCTCTTTAGCAAGCCTTCTACAGCCACTTTTGGACCAGAGTGGGAGACTGCCCTGCTCCCCTCAGAAATCATTATGTAAGAACAGAACTCTCCATGCTTCTCTGGTCAGTCTGCAGCATTTTTAGTCTCAATACTAAACTAAATTTTGTATGAGGAGCCATCCCACTTATGCCAAGTGGCTCTAACATTTACGATGAGCACAATGAACTTTTATACCCAAACTGACTATCACTTTTACAACACTAAGGGATAACATTTCATTTCAGGTGTGCATAGTTGTGCTCATTAAGGAAGGCTATCCTTTTATACCAGAGGGCCAAGGAAAAGGAAGAATTCAGTGTAAGGCACCACCTCCGTTCCAGATGCCTAGAAGAGCCACTTCCTGTTTGGGGACTAGCCACTGAATCTTCACAAGGAAACATACCTGGACTGAGCCATTGCCCTTCGGTGAGAACATCTCCCAGGGTGACAGACAAAAACTGGTACTTGGGTCTCTGCCAGCACCAGTATCTCTTCTTTTTGATCACCAGACTGAGGAGCTGCAGCTTGTCCGAGTCATTCAAGTGTGAGACTGAGATCAGGTCCCCTCCAGCATCCACTTCTTTAAGGAAATTCCGAGTCGCTTTGGCAAACATTTTGTCAGGTTCGGATTACCTGAAAAATAAGATTAGCATAGAGTCAAATATGGAGTTATTTTGTCTTTTTTTTTTCTAAAATTATCATATTTCTTTATAGTTCCTATAGCTAATGTGAAGGAATGTATCCTCTCTGAGAAACTGTCTGATGTGAGTTCAGTTGATGATAATGAAATCAAATCAAAACAGGAAGACATCAAAACAAAAGAAGATTTCAGTTGGGATAGGCTAGGAGGTTATACTTCCAAAACAAGCAACCCTGAAATCCCAGTGGCTTACAGCCCTGGTTCTCATCCTGTGGGTCGTAATCCCTTTGGAGTCACAAAGGGTCACAATCCCTTTCACAGGGGTCACTAAGACCATCAGCAAGCACAGGTATTTACACTATGATTCATAACAGTAGGAGCTGTATTAAAGCGTCACAGCATTAGGAAGGTTAAGAACCACCAGCTTACAGCAATAGAAGTTTATTTGGTGAGCTGGGCTTGATGGTACACATCAGTAATCCCATGGAGCAGGGGCGGCAGAGTAACACGCTCAACGGCAGCCTGGCCTGTATAGTGGGTTCCAGGCCTACACTCCATCCCAGAAGGAAATCATTTGTTGCTTATACTGCATGCCAATAAAGACGAACAGGAAAGGTCTGAGATTTTCGTTTTATTTTGGGAGGGTTTGTGTGTGTGTGTGTGTGTGTGTGTGTGTGTGTGTGTGTGTGTGTGTGTGTGTGTGTGTGTGAGACAGGGTCTCATATCTTAGCCCATGCTGGCCTGGAACTCATTGTATAGCTCAGGCTGGCCTCGAACTCTGAACAATCTTCCCACCTCAGCCTTGGGAGTTACTGGTGTTATAGGAGAAAGTCAGCCATCACCTGGCTGAGAGTTTATTTACTGTGGACATTCAGAGGATCAAAGGGGAAACCACCATCTTGAACAGTGTCAATCATTACACAACATAAAAGAGAGTTCTAGAAGGTCTCACATTAGCAATTAAACCTCCCAGCACAAAAGGTACTGATGGCATGTTTACTTAGAACTTGTCAAAACACGTATTTAACCAACCTTGAGAATGGAGACTGCAACCCTACCAAGAACCCGGCAGGCAGAGACCTGGGGATATTTGTTGACATAATGAGTTCCAAACATTCAATCAACAGCAGATTGGCGATATTAAAAAATGATTGTATTGGATTGAACATGTGCAGACTTCCCCCTTAAAACAATGCTGTAGTAAGCAAAGACCAACTGTATAAACAACGTACAGGTGATTTAAATACACCAGATGCTGTGTGTAGGATGTATACAAACTGCACCATTTTGTAGGAAGGTTGGCTAAGGACGATGGCCCCACATTGCCAAGTTCAGCCTGGCTTGATCCTGGAAACCGGCCTCAGTCACTGAGGAAATGGACTGACACACAGACACACGTTCAGAAAATCTGGGATCAGGTGGGCTGTGCTCTCCCTGGCGGAGCAGCATTTACAGCAGCAACTTGGAAACTCAGAGTGTTGATTTTATACATCTGAAATCCAAATCGAGGGGGCTGGCTCCTTGTACGCAGCTGAATAAGAGGCAGGCTCATGGCACACAACTGAAGAAGAAGATGGGTTTAGTCAGTCTTGGGCAGGAGGGCTCCACAGGGAAGCAGCCTCGGGCTGGAGTCATCTGGGAGGAGGAAGCTGGGGCTGATAGCGTCTGCACACAGTCAGCTTCTGCACTTGCCAGAAGAGGGCTTTGCTGTCTCACTCTGAGCCTCAGAGGTTTTCCCTTCCCAGAGGTCTGAGGCATCAGGTCCTTGGCATGGTTGTGCCCCAGTCAACAAGACACACTCACTCAGAACTTCTTCCGCTCCTTACACATTCGCTCAGGGTTTCCTCCACTTCCTTTCAGTGGTACCTAGGGACCACTGCAGTTCTGTGAGAAGTCAAAGATAGATTTTCGCTACATAGTGTGATCTTTCCTGCTCAGAAATGAATACTAGCTAGCTATAAATTTTTAACCCAGAAATAAAAGTATAGTCACACTTCATCTGGAGAGAAAAGGAAACCCGGGAAGATATAAAGAGAAAGTAGCATATTTAGTGGGAGTGTCGGCTAGTGTAAGTGGGCCAGCTTTATGGAGGAATACCCTTTTTCCTTCCTCATAGCAACACAAGAAAAAAATGGTAATAAATAAGGATTTCTTTGAAGGAAATAAAACCATAAAAAAGGTAGGAAGTGCAGAGAAGTATTTTTGCAATCATAGGATGAAAGGACATTTATAAAGACAAATTGTAATCTGAGTAAGTATTTGCAATATTTATTTCAAGAGGATTTATTTAAAAACAACTCTTAGAGGCCAGAGAGAGGGCTCAGTGGTTAAAGGACTCCCTCTGTTTCAAGCACCCCCTCGGAGGCTTACACCTGTTGGGAAATTCCCGTTCGAGGGGGTCTGATGCTCTCTGCTGGCCTCCTCACACACTGCAGATACCTGGCCCACAGACATACCTTGCAAATGAAACACCCCCATATAAAATAAAAATAAACAAATACCAAAACAAACTTTTACAAATCAAATACTTGATTAGAAGAAACACTCAAAAATTGTGTTACCACACATAAATTGAACATAGTTGTATATATACAGATATGCACAGATTTCAAGTCACATATTTAATATTGCACACAAAAAAATTGAAATGACACTTATTTGCTTGTTAATTTTAGTTTTGTTTCTTTGACTTTATTTAGGCTTTTTTAAAGCTGGGTATGTAACATCCTAGGCTAGCCTCAAACTCATAATCCTCCTGCCTCATCCTCCCCAGTATTGAGATTACCATGGTAGCCATCATGCCCAGTGAAACAGCACTTTACGACTAACTACAAACAAGTAAACACGTCTGATGACAAGAGCTGGCATTTGTCTGTACTCTTGCCCTGGAACTTGGCCAATCCCTTGGTCACACAACACTCCTGGAGTGTAACAGCTGGGTGTCGACTTTAACCTGTCTGATTCACTTTCTTCACCACTTGCCTTCCCTGGGGTTTCAGAAACATCCGCCTCCCCCACCTCTGCAAAGCACCTCTTCCTTCGTCACTATGAAGCAGGAGCTGCTTCAGCTGATTCTTGTATAGTCAGGGTAAAAATAAACGTTCGAAGAGAAGCAAAGCTCCTGTGGGAACAACGGCCTGCAAACACTATGACTAACGTGCTTGCCTTCAATGGAACATCCACTTATTCATTCGCCAAACTGTTAACTGAGTCATTCATTAAGAATTCTTCATCCACACTAGGTTCTGGGTTGAAGCACTTAAAAAAACCTCTAGGTTTATGCTGGGTTTGGTGACTCATGCCTGTAATCTAAGCACTCAAATAAGCCAGAAAGATAGTTGTGAGTTCTAGACCAGTAGGCCTCTCTCTCTCTCTCTCTCTCTCTCACACACACACACACACACACACACACACACACACACACACACACACACACTACTTTATGGTAGCTATTGGCAGATAATGGTGGAGAAGGAACAACAGAAAATCCTGTCCATTCAAGCGGACAAGGGCCCCAGTGTGCGAGGGAAGTCTACGGCCTCCAGGCTGCACTTTGTAGCCAAGGAGAATCTGTGAGGGCTGTTGTGACAGAGCAGCTTTTACAGAAGCAGGGGGCAAGGTGTAAGGAGACCAGGAAGGCAAGGCAGGTTACCAGCAAGTTCCCAGTGTCCGTGCCGGTGCCCTGCCGCCACCGCACCGACAGACTTAGAACGCTTAGGAAGCTTTGCGATTGACGAGCATTGCAAGACAGAGTCCCAGAATGGGGACATGACAGGAACCGGCTGGGAAGTCCCCTGGACCAGAGCCTGAAGGTCCATATACCCCTGTGCGAGTGTCAGATGAGCAAGATCTATGAAAGGGTGTGACCAGAGAGCAAAGGGATCAGCAAAGTCGCTTGGGTCTTCTGAACAACACAGTGAGGTGGGGACAGGCAAAGGTGCTTGCTGCCAAGTCTGACGATCCCAGTTCGATCCCAAGGCCCACAGAGAGGAAGGAGGGAACGGACACCTGTAAGTTTTCTTCTTACCTCCACAGCTGCACGCACACACACACACACACACACACACACACACACACACACACACACACACACACATATCCATAAATGCAAGCAGGGAGTGGGTAGGAGAGAAACAGGTTAGAAATGGATGCAAACCTATGGTGCTCTAAGCTGTCAGTATCCTAAGCAGGGAGATGCAGGTTTGGCGGATTTACTAGAACTGAGGTTGGGTGACCAATGATGACACAGGATAGGAGACCCACTAGGACGTCCTCCAGACAGTCCAGGCAGGTGGTGGGTGATGAAACAGCTCAGCCGGTTACCAAGAGATGGATTCAGGAAATTGAGGGCAGCAATGGCCACGGCTGTCCAAGGAACAAGATGAAGGATTTGTTGTGCCAAAACCAAAGAACTTTGAACAAAACTGGGTCTCCCCTTTGGTGTGTGAGAACTCATCCGGATGGTAGAACAAGTTATTTAAGTTCGCCCTTGATGTTGGGATTATTTTTTTTATAGTCTAAATTCTTTTCTGAAACAAGCTGAATGGGAGTTCACAAACCCATCTTCACATCAAAAGGGTTTCTATGGAGCTGATGTCAGGCTTGCTGTTAAAACAAAAAACGGAATCCAGCTGCTGTGAAGGCCCAGCTGTGGGAACAGCACCAACTCCCCCAGAGGGTCAGAGGGTGAAGGAAGGGCACTTAAATTCATTTTTAGTGGGATTTTTTCTGCTTCCTCTAACAGCAAACCTGGCCAATTTCCTTCTTGACGGACTAAGTTGCTTAGGGAGTTACTGGGAGCCTGCTGTTCTGAGGGCCTGTCAGACCCAGGTTTGGCCAATCACGGGACTCCGTGAAGATGGTCTCCTGGTGCAGTTAAGGCTAGCACTTTCTTTCTGTTGTATGTGGGTAGAATTTATATAGCACCAAAATCTATACTCCAAAAATGCTAAGCACTCTGAACTTCCATTCCCGCCATGCTCTCCTCCTACCT